TCTTGGCGAGGTGCGTGAGGCTGCAGGTGCTGAACTCGTCCATGATGATGAAGCGCACCCCAGCAAGGTTGCGCGCCGCACGCTGGAGGGCGGAGCCCACGAAGCGGCCAGCGGTGGCAAAGAAGGTGGTGGTGCTGGTGCCAGCGTTCGCAGGGGTGCTGACCTGCGGGGAGTGCACGGAACGGCAAGCATGTGGGAAGACACAGGTACGGCGCGGAGGCAAGGTAAGGGGAGGTGGTGGACGGAACGGAAGTGGCAGGGTCGGGTAGGGTTGAAGGGAGGTGGTGAGGACAGCACTTACGTGTAGCGCGGCACGCCAGGTGTAGCTGACGACGGCGATCTGGTGGTGGCAGTCGTGTTGGAAGGCGAACCACAGGAGCGCGAGGACGACCTGGCTCTTGCCAGTGCCAGGCTTGCCGGTGAGGACGGCATTGATAGGCGGCTGGACGCGGCGGCCCTCCTTCTCCGCCAGGAACAGGTGGGCGTACAGACGAAAGGGCTGCGCCTGGTCGTCGGTGAGGGTGAAGATGCGGATGGTATCCTCCACGGACGGCCGCTGGTCGGGCGGGAGGCGGATGAAGGGGGGGACGGCGCCAGGTGTTGCAGGGTCCGGGAAGGAGGCGCCGGTGGGGGTGCCGTCGGGGTGGAGGACGACGAGCTTGGCATGGGCGGTGGCGGCGTCAAGGAGGCGGAGGACCAGGTCAGGCGTGGGAGGTTCCAGAGCATGGGGGGCCGGGAGCGGGTAGAAGCTGTCGTACTGGTCCTCCAGGGCTTGCAGGCGTTGCGGGGAGAACACAGCGGCGGGAGCGATGGACTCGGCGGCGGGGCGGAAGTTGCGGGCTTCGTGGGTGAAGCGCGTGTGGGAGGGGACTGGAAGGGCGGCGACGGCGAGTTGGACGTAAGCCTCCTCGCTGGGGCTGCCGCGGTGTGGCGTGGGGTGCGTTGCCAGGACGCGGGCGTTGAGGCGGGCGCGGATGCTGGCGTCGGCCGCCTGGTTGCTCCACGCCTCGGTGGGAGGCCTTGTGGCGGGCAGAAAGTGCGTAGGGACGGGGGGGAGGAGGGGTAAGAAGGAAGGTGTGAAAGGCAGGCAGCACAGGGAGCGGCGAGGCAGCGGGAGCGCTGGGGGAGTGCAGGATTGGGGCGGGCGCACCTGTCATGAGGGCGGTCGTATGGCACGTCAGTGGCGTCGTCGGGGGTGCCGGTGAGGGTGTCATCCAGGGGCAGGACGCCCTCCATGACCGCGGCCTCGGCCTGTTCCTCTACGCTGGTCTGGATGTCGGCCTGCAGCAGCTGACGCTCCTCGGTGCGCATGCGGACGCGGGCGAGCATGTCAGCGTTGTCAAGCAAGCGGCGGGCGATGCGGATGTGCAGGGCGTCGCCGGAGAAGTACTGCTGGTACGCGGGCCAGAGGCCGCGGCTGAGGTCGAGCGGCTCGGCGGCGCTGTAGGCGGCGAAGTTCCCCAGGGCGAAGGCGGCGTACCGGTCGCGCATGATGGGGTCGGCGCAGTCATCTGGGGGCCTCGGGGGTGGGTCGGAGAGGGGCTGCGGAATAAAGAGCCGCTCCCGACGGCTCCAGACGTGGGTGGCGTGCTGCATGTGCGACGGCGCCAGGCGAAGATGAGGTGCGGTCTGGTTGGCGGCGCCGCCTCCGGCCTGGCGCTGCAAGCAGGAGGGAGGAGGGACACGGCATGGAGCAGAGGTCATGTATCAGAAGCCGGGTGGGAAGCGCGATGTTGAGGGCGGATGCGCAGGGGAGCAAGTACGAGGTACGAACGGCGGTACAGCAGGTGGCGACGGAAATGGGGGTACCTTGTAGAAGAGCATGGCCATCAGGACGGGGGAGTAGTGACGGAAGGCGCCGTCTCCACCACGGTGCTCGTAGTCGTACAGGCGCGTGACGGCCCGGTAGGCGGCGTGGGAAGCCCCGGCGGTGGGGTCGGGCTGGACCCGGGAGCCGTCAGGAGAGGCGTCGTCATCGGACGGCTCGTCACGTACAGGTGGTGCCTCGCCGTCGACGGACATGGGCGAGGAGGGGCGGGGGGGTGAGGTGGTGCCGACCTGTGCGGCGGCGGAAGTGGAGGGGCCGGCGGCGGCGGCGGCGGCGTGCACGAGTTGGAGCGCGCTGGCCTGCCGCTGGTCTTCCGGCGAGAGGAGGTGCGGCTGGAAGCGACTGGCGAAGAGGCGGTAGTCATGCGGCTGCATCTTGTGGGACTCGATGCCGACGTTGTTCAGCAGCAGCAGGAGCGCCGCCGCCGGCGCGGAGTAGGTAGTCTGCGCCGTCTGAACGTTGATGGCGTGCGCCAGGTTGTACTTGCCTTTGGCGGCGGCCGGGGGGAGGGCCGGCGTCGCGTGGCTGGGCGCGGGGGTGGCGTGCACGGCGGCGCTGGTGCTGGGGCCCGCGGCGGCGGCGGCGGCCGCACGGGCGGCCGCCTGCTCCTGCTCCTCCTGAGCGGCCTGCCCGGGTGCGGTGGGGGCCGCGGTGCCGGCGCCGGCTTGGTCGGCCGGGGTGGCGATGGGCTGCTGCTGGAGCGTCATGAGCATGTCAAGCGGGGTTCGCGGCGGTTGGGGGGCCTCGGGAGGCGGCACAGTGCCGTGCGCAGGCGGCTGCTGGACGTGCCGCAGGTCCTGCTCCATGCGCATGCGGTACTTGAGGAGGGTGGCGGCAGCGACGATGGCGGCGCCGCCCTGGGACGTCTCCGCCTTGGTGGCGTACTTGAGGGCGTAGTCCGCCGCGTCGGAGGCCACGTCGTGCGTGCGCAGTTGGACCCCACCTCGGAGTTCCAGCCTGGCGGCATCCTCGCTGACGTGCACGGCCTCTTTGTCGGCGACCCCCGCCAGCTCGAGCAGCCGCAGCACCCGCCCATCTACAGCGGCGCTGCTAGGGAGCACCTTAAGATGCAGCACGCCATCAACCTGCACCTCGCCGCTCGCCAAAACAACCTCCCCGCCATCTCCACCACCCTCGCTGCCGCCGCCCCTACTGTTGAGGCCCAGCTGCGTGACCTCCGCAAGCCGTCCGGCCCAACCGAAGAGGTGGGCCGCCAGCTCTGGCGCAGCATCCCGTACGCCTTCGTGCTCACCACCCAGCACCGCGGCCTCACCACCACACCGGGCCGCCAACTGTACGACGCCGCCGAGACCTTCGCCGGAACCCAGGCCCACAGCCGCGCTGATGTGGAGCGCCTCGCTGACCTGTATAACGCCCACGTCGCCGCCGACATCACCAACCTGCCACCCCCCCACGTCGTCGTCCTCCGTCACTCTGTCCGCATACCGCTCCTGCACCGCCTTCTTCCCCACCACGCCCTCCACCACCGCCAGCAGCTCCTGCTCTGGCGCAGCGTTGACCTCGGCCCCGACGGCAAACCACTGCCCCCGCCCTACATCGAGGAGCTCGAACTGCTGGGCGGGCCTGGCAATGATGGTGACCTCCCCGCAATGTGCGCCTTCTTCCCCGGCATCCGCTACACCTTCACCACCAACGCCCATCCCTGCGTCCACCACGTCCACAACAACACCGCCACCGGCACCCGCATCGTCCTGCACCCCAACGAGCCCCCCGTGCCCAGCCCTGCCACCGCTCCCATTCACGTCCTCACTTACGTCCCACGCGCCCTCATCGTTCGGCCGGATGGCGGCGACCTGCCCCCCCTTGCTGCCGCCCCCGACCTGGACGCCAACGAGATCATTGTCACCCCCAAGTTCCGCACCTTCACGCCCAAATCCGCCAGCGCGCCCCAGGCCGTCCACCGTTTCGGCTTCCCAGTCGACCTCAACTACGCTGAGACCGACTACTTCGCTGAGGGCCAGACGTTCCGGGGCCAAACGTGGCTTGCGCACCTCTGCCGTCCCCCAACAGGCCACTGGCAGCGCGCTTCCATGTACGTCATCCCCACCCGCTTCTCCTCTATCGACGACCTCCGCCTCCTCTGCCCCATGTGGCCTCCCAATGATGACGCCGAACGTGAGCGTCTGCTCAAGCGCCTCACCGACCTCGCCCAGCCTGTTCCGGACCTGCAGGCCGAATGGGAGCGCCTACTCCAGCTGGACCAACTCACCCGGCAGCTCCTGCCTGACTTCCTGCGACGCCTCGCCCCCCTCCCACCACCCACCGCCCCAACACCCGCAACCGGCACCACTGTGCCATGACGACCATCCCTTACAGCACTACACCGCCTGCCATCCAACACCACCGCAGGCAAGTCCCCCACGCAACACCCGTGCCGTTACTACCCAACCCTACGACCTCCTGCCACACCCCTCCTCCCCTTTCTCCATCCCTAACCTCCCCATTCCGCACCTCCACCCTCTTCCATGCAGACGCCGCCCTCTCTACTTTGGTCCTCCACGTCACGGAGCCACACTTCAAGACTTCCACCTCGTTCTCGTTAGGGGCTGGCCTGTGCTCGCCATCCTGGATGTAACCAACATCTCCTCCTTTCCTATCTCCGACCCTGCCATCCAAACATACCACATGCCGGACACCATACATCACCCCCATACCGCCTCACCCCGACCACCTTCAGGGTGTCAGCGCCCTTCGGGCCGAAGGCCCAGCTTGTGCTGACATCCTTTGGATGTCTGAAGGGGACAGCCTGCCTGCCTGCAACTGCCTGATCGATCCCTGCTGATTGCATATGCTTGCTGATCTTGCTGGCTTGCATCTTGCATGCATACATGCAAGCCACCTGGCGGCACTCAACACAACTACAGCGTACAGGCTACACTACAACATGCAAGCATGAACAACAGGCAGCGCTGCTCGCAAAAAAGTAGGGTTTGATATCCTTGCGTAAAATAAATGCACCTTCTGCGCAAAACAGCGTCACGCCAGACGTTGCTTTTGCTAATATTATACCGGCAACACATACAGCGTGAAGTGTATTCTGCAATCCTTGTATCCGGCAAATACAAAGCGACTGTATGCGAGAAATCTGAGGAACCGAAGGCAACCACCGCAATCTCCTCAAATTTGACGTAGTCCGCATTCCCTCCCCTTCCCCTTTCCTAAAAAGTCTTCCTTATGAAATATATCGTCCGCACTTCCTCCTTCTATTCGCATATTGATCCCTGACTACACAGCAGGCTACCAACCTCGCGACATCGCTTTTTCCACCCGCGACCATCACCGTTGTTTCTTTTATAATTGTGCTCCTGACTACAAGAAAACGCTGCCGAATTAGCGATAACATAAGAAGCTGCGTGCGGCGCACACAATTGTGGTCGAAATCTACTGCCTCGTGGAGTCGCCGATAAACGAAATGGCGATAAAGTGAGGTCCGGAAATCAATCAAGTAAGAGAATGCCATTTTCATTTCCGGGCGCAGCATATTCGTCGGCGCTGGACTGCAGACATTAAAATGGACATCTTGCGACCTCAACTGCGAGCCCGCATACTCTTGTCTTCCCTGCGTTCCATTATGAACCGCTGCAAATGAAGGAGAGTATTACAGCGCCCCCTAGAGATCGACCCTCCGACTACCGGCTATGCACTTTCCAGACACCGCAGCATGCAAGCCCTGCTTACGTTACCAACTGCGACCGACCCCAACCCTACCACCGAAACCTGCAGTATAGACTGAGGACACGTCTTACAGAGAGGGCAAAGTGGCGGGCGGCAGCGGGCGGTCCACCTATCGGTCCTCTCCTTCTTCCCCCAGGCGTGTTCCCCACCCTCTGGTGCATGCAGCCATCTTCTAGTACCGCTCGAACCGTAGATAGGCGGACGATCGGAGAGGGAAAACGCGCGTGCCAGCAGCCCCCGGTTCCAGGTCAGTACAGCACGCTCCCCTCGCACTTCCTCCATGCCCCCAAGACGCCGCACTCGCCCTTACTACCCACAAAACTGCATGTGCGTACCCCACCGCTCCTACCTTCATGCCTACCTTCTCCTTCCCACGCGCTTTCCCCACCCTTTGCTGCATGCAGGCTTCTTCATAGTCCAGCTCCGTGCGGCATCGCTGCTACCTGCTAGCCTAACATCTCCTTCCTCGCTGCAAGCCCCACCATTCCGTCTTTTGCTCCCTCCCTGCACTGCACGCCCCCTTACTACCCGCAATACTGCATGTGCGTACACCGTCGCTGCTACCTGCAAGCCTACCTTCTCCTTCCCCCACGCACTTCCCCCACCCTTTCCTCCATGCAGGCTTCTTCTGGTACCCCTGCAACCAGCCATACGCCGACGCGCGGAAACCCAGGGCTTCTGCACACGTCCATGCCAGCAGCCTCCGCTTCCAAATGAGTACAGCGCCACCGCATCGGTTGTCCCGTTGCCTCCCGTACCACCGCGCTCTTCCAGTGCATGCTCCTGCCATGTATGCCACCACCGCTGCTTCCCCCCCGCACCTTCTCCTACCCCACCGCTACCACCACCAATCGGTCTTCTCCTCCTTCCCCCACGCACTTCCTCCACCGTCTGATGCAGCCTTTGGTACCGCCGCATCGCCTCCCTCCTCTTTCCTCCCCTCCGACTTCCTGCATTGCACACCCCGTTGCAACCCGCAATACGGCATATACCTGCAAGCCTACCTTTTCCTTCCCAACGAAAACCCCCACCTATCCGTGCTGTCCCCCTTCCCCCAGGCGTCTTCTAGTACCGCTGCAGCCATACATACGCCGACGGGCGGGGGACGTGCCAGCAGCCCCCGCTTGAAAGTGAGTACAGCGTGGACGGAGCAGGGGGCACGTCCCCAACACTGCCCCCGCAGCTTTCCACCTGTCGCAAGTGTGTGTAAGCCCTACTCCCGCCTAGCGCGCCGCCTGCGTCGACCTCACCGACCTCACCCTTCTTATGTTATGCTCCTGGCCGGTAACGCAGCGATGCGACCCACCCACGCCCTGTGCTTGTGTGAGGCAATCCCGCGTGATGCAGGAGTCTTTTGGCTCTGCGTGTAGCGTTGCGAACACCTAACCACAGTCCGTCTGTGCACGTATTCCCTCACCACACGCTTAACTGCCAGTCCAAAGGTCTTCTTCCTCGCACCTTGGTTGTTGCACTGCGTTCTGACCTTCTTCTGCATCCCTCATGTGCTCTTGTTGCAGGGCAAAGGCAAGCAGTAGCCCAGGTTGTTCGATGCCGCTGGTGGGGCGGGGGAGGCGTGGCACGGGGGAGGCCCAGGTTTGTGTCGTACCGGCCTGTACTCTGGCGGCGTTGGGGGTTCGTAGCAGTGCCTCTTAAGTATGTATGGATAGCCCCGCCCTAACGCTGCCTTTTCGCCCCTCTCGCCCCGTAACACACAAACCCCCCCCCTCCGTGCTGGCATCCTGCTTAACTTCATGTGCGTGTTTACCCCCCACCCCCACAGGCACAGCACACACCGCGGTGGGTATCAAGAACGCCGGCGTTTTGTGGAGACGGAGAAAAGCAGCTGGGGCAGAGTGTGTGTTGGGGGCACGGGTGAGTGTACGCTGCCCTGCTTTGCAGCCCCACGCAGCCCCATAGTGGTACCCTGCTCTCTTCCTGTTGTGTGCTCGTTATGTCCCTCTCCTCCGACCTTACAGCGCCCTCACTACTGACACCCTTCTTGCCCTCCCCGTCCAACCTGTCCTGCACCGCCGCTGCCGCCGTCGTCACCCCCTCGTCCCTCCCGCCCTCCATGCACGAACGAATGTGCTAACACGTACTGTAGTAAGCTACGGCTTCCTTATAGAGTGCTCATTGATGCAGCAAGGTTGCATGGGTTCGCGAATGAGGTTTAATTGCACATCCGGGGCGAAATGTGTGATACCGGTAGGGGGCGTTGGTGGTAACGGCTCATGAGGGCGCTGGAGGGAATCCACCGCGGATTGGCCTGGACGTTGTCGCATGTTGCAACCAAGCTATCCCTGGATAGCCCTTTGCATCGGCTATCGATTGCAAAAGGTGCGGTTATGAACTGCCAAGTCGCTCCAGAGTTCTGCCGTACCGCGTGCCGTACAATGGTTAGTTGCTGGAGGGCCTGGTGAACTTGGGAAGCCCGGATCTGGCCCATCCCAGCCCGGATTGCGGCTACGGCTTCCTTATAGAGTGCTTATTGATGCAGCAAGGTTGCATCTGTTCGCGAATGAGGTTTAATTGCACATCCGGGGCGAAATGTGTGCTACCGGTAGGGGGCGTTGGTGGTAACGGCTCATGAGGGCGCTGGACGGAATCCACCGCGGATTGACCTAGACGGTGTCGCATGTTGCAACCAAGCTATCCCTTAATAGCCCTTTGCATAGGCTATCCAATGCAAATAGTGCGATTACGAACTGCCAAGTCGCTGACGAGTTCTGCCGTACCGCGTGTCGTACAATGGTTACTTGCTGGAAGGCCTGGTGAACTTGGGAAGCCCGGATCTGGCCCATCCCTTCACTGTTCCCAGCCCGGATTGCGGCTACGGCTTCCTTATAGAGTGCTTATTGATGCAGCAAGGTTGCATCTGTTCGCGAATGAGGTTTAATTGCACATCCGGGGCGAAATGTGTGATACCGGTAGGGGGCGTTGGTGGTAACGGCTCATGAGGGCGCTGGAGGGAATCCACCGCGGATTGGCCTGGACGTTGCCGCATGTTGCAACCAACCTATCCCTGGATAGCCCTTTGCATCGGCTATCGATTGCAAAAGGTGCGGTTATGAACTGCCAAGTCGCTCAAGAGTTCTGCCGTACCGCGTGTCGTACAATGGTTAGTTGCTGGAGGGCCTGGTGAACTTGGGAAGCCCGGATCTGGCCCATCCCTTCACTGTTCCCAGCCCGGATTGCGGCTACGGCTTCCTTATAGAGTGCTTATTGATGCAGCAAGGTTGCATCTATTCGCGAATGAGGTTTAATTGCACATCCGGGGCAAAATGTGTGATACCGGTAGGGGGCGTTGGTGGTAACGGCTCATGAGGGCGCTGGACGGAATCCACCGCGGATTGACCTAGACGGTGTCGCATGTTCCAACCAAGCTGCCCTGAATAGCCAAAATGGTGCGATTACGAACTGCCAAGTCGCTGACGAGTTCTGCCGTACCGCGTGTCGTACAATGGTTACTTGCTGGAAGGCCTGGTGAACTTGGGAAGCCCGGATCTGGCCCATCCCTTCACTGTTCCCAGCCCGGATTGCGGCTACGGCTTCCTTATAGAGTGCTTATTGATGCAGCAAGGTTGCATCTGTTCGCGAATGAGGTTTAATTGCACATCCGGGGCGAAATGTGTGATACCGGTAGGGGGCGTTGGTGGTAACGGCTCATGAGGGCGCTGGAGGGAATCCACCGCGGATTGGCCTGGACGTTGCCGCATGTTGCAACCAACCTATCCCTGGATAGCCCTTTGCATCGGCTATCGATTGCAAAAGGTGCGGTTATGAACTGCCAAGTCGCTCAAGAGTTCTGCCGTACCGCGTGTCGTACAATGGTTAGTTGCTGGAGGGCCTGGTGAACTTGGGAAGCCCGGATCTGGCCCATCCCTTCACTGTTCCCAGCCCGGATTGCGGCTACGGCTTCCTTATAGAGTGCTTATTGATGCAGCAAGGTTGCATCTATTCGCGAATGAGGTTTAATTGCACATCCGGGGCAAAATGTGTGATACCGGTAGGGGGCGTTGGTGGTAACGGCTCATGAGGGCGCTGGACGGAATCCACCGCGGATTGACCTAGACGGTGTCGCATGTTCCAACCAAGCTGCCCTGAATAGCCAAAATGGTGCGATTACGAACTGCCAAGTCGCTGACGAGTTCTGCCGTACCGCGTGTCGTACAATGGTTACTTGCTGGAGGGCCTGGTGAACTTGGGAAGCCCGGATCTGGCCCATCCCTTCACTGTTCCCAGCCCGGATTGCGGCTACGGCTTCCTTATAGAGTGCTTATTGATGCAGCAAGGTTGCATCTGTTCGCGAATGAGGTTTAATTGCACATCCGGGGCGAAATGTGTGCTACCGGTAGGGGGCGTTGGTGGTAACGGCTCATGAGGGCGCTGGACGGAATCCACCGCGGATTGACCTAGACGGTGTCGCATGTTGCAACCAAGCTATCCCTGGATAGCCCTTTGCATAGGCCATCCAATGCAAAAGCTGCGGTTATGAACTGCCAAGCCCTTGAAGAGTTATGCCGTACCGCGTGCCGTACAATGGTTAGTTGGTGGAGGGCCTGGTGAACTTGGGAAGCCCGGATCTGGCCCATCCCTTCACTGTTCCCAGCCCGGATTGCGGCTACGGCTTCCTTATAGAGGGCTCATTGATGCAGCAAGGTTGCATGGGTTCGCGAATGAGGTTTAATTGCACATCCGGGGCGAAATGTGTGATACCGGTAGGGGGCGTTGGTGGTAACGGCTCATGAGGGCGCTGGACGGAATCCACCGCGGTATTCCCCCCCCCCCCCCACCACCACCCCCCGAGCCCACCATGGTGCTTGGCACTACTGTACAAGCCGCGCCGTGACGTCTTGCACCTCCCCTCCTCATGTATTCGCCAAAGGATGTCAGGCCCTCGGGCCCCCCGGGCCCAGCTTGTGGCTGACGTCGACAGCCGGTGCAATTGCGGTCTCGAGTTCGATTCCCGTCGGGAGCAGATTCCTTCTTCCTGCCCGCATTCGCCCGCCTTTTGCCGCTTTCCTGCCGCTTGCCGCCTTCTAGCACCTGCGCGTAGAGGGCTATCAGACGCAACCGCCCGCCCCCCAAGCCTTGCAGCCGGCGCCAAACGGGAGCAAGGCTAGGGGGGAAGGGCCTAGGGAGGAAGCCCCTAGGGTTGGCGCAGTTTCGCTTAGGAAAAGGCTGAGCTGCCGCCATAAAGGTATTAATAACCTACATACAGCCTGCGTTAAGAAGCACCAATCAGCGCCTGAAATTGCTGCGGCGCCAGGAAGATATGGCGTCCCGATGACAAGCCAAATTTTCAAACTTCTTCCCCAATCTTGCGCACCAGGCCGCGCTGTGCAGACCTATTCACACCTGGGTTCATGCCGTTCAGCACGGTACCGTAAAACAACATTACCTCACAAACGAAAAATGGCAACTCCCCCTAGCACCTTCCGAGCCGTGCAAGCCCCTAGCCCCTACCCCCCTACCCCCCTTCCGAGCCGTGCAAGCCCCTAGCCCCTACCCCCCTAGCCCCGTCTTCCGAGCCGTGCAAGCCCCTAGCCCCTTCCCCCCTAGCCCCGGCTTCCGAGCCGTGCAAGCCCCTAGCCCCTTCCCCGCTAACCCCCTTCCTAGCCATGCATGCAAGTCCCTACCTCGTACACCCCGGGACTCCTTTCCAAGCTTCCTCTGGGCGGCGGAGGCCTCAGGTTGGACAAGACGCCCTAGGCTTGCCGTCCATTCCAATAAGAGAAGCCTCAAGTGCCACTGCCGCTGCGCTGCTGCCTGCGGACCCGTGGGTCACCCTGCCCGTAACTCAAACAAGGCCGGCCCAGTCTCAATTCGCGTGCCCTCCCGCCGCACTTCGGGGTTTCCCGCAACTCGCCGCCGTCACATGCAGCGCCAGCATGCCAGCAGCGCCCGCGGCCGCCTGGGAGGCCCCCAACGGGGTGGGCCGAGACAACGAGGTCGCCGGCTCGTGGCCTCTGCCGCCTGTTGGCCAGGGGCCCCTGGGGTGGGGCCGCTGTGCTGCTGGCGGGCCAGCGGCCGGGCCGTGTTGTCCCTAGGCTTGCCGTCCATTCCAATAGGAGAAGCCTCAAGTGCCACTGCCGCTGCGCTGCTGCCTGCGGACCCGTTGGTCACCCTGCCCATAACTCAAACAAGGCCGGCCCAGTCTCGAATCCGCGTGCCCTCTCGCCACACTTCGGGGCTTCCCGCAACTCGCCGCCCTCACATGCAGCGCCAGCATGCCAGCAGCGCCCGCGGCCGCCTGGGAGGCCCCCGACGGGGTGGGCCGAGACAAGGAGGTCGCCGGCTGGTGGGCTCTGCTGCCGGGTGGCCAGGGGAGCAACCCCGCGGCCGCCTGCTGCATGCACCCGTGGTACGACCGCGACACGTTCCAGCCCACGAGGAGGCCCGGGCCGCCGCCACCCCCCACTGCCCTCGCCCGATCCCGGAGCCCCGGGGGGCGGCCGCGCCGGCCCCCGCCCGCAGGCCCGGCGCCCACAGTGCCGCGCCGGCCCCCCGGGGCTCCGGGCTCAGCGGCAGCGCGGCGGCTCGGTGCGCCCGGCGGTGTGTCGCCCCCGAACGCCACCCCGCCGGCGCCCTGCCGGCCCCGGCCCTCACCGCCCCGGCCCAACAGCTGGACCTCGACCGCTGGAAGCCGGGGGCCGACGAGGCGCCCGGCGTGGCCAGGCTCCGGGAGCTGTTCGGCCTCGAGCGCCCCCGGGCTGGGAGCGCGGCGTGACCTGCCTGTCCGGCCACTGTACCACCACAGTCAGCAACCCCAGCAACACTGGCAGCACCAGGGCAGCCATCCCACCCTGCGCCACCCGAGCCTGCATCAAATACCCGCAACATCCTGAATCCTCCCTTCCCCCTCGGCAGCCTTTACTGCATCCACGGATTGTACAACACCGACTGGCCGCCGCACGCCATGCAAGCCTGGCGTGCGCGCCTGCCAAATGACCTCGCTCGCTCCTAAACTAGGTGGACGTGTTGCACAGACTTTACAACTGCGACCACCGGCCATGCGTCATACAGGCTGCCGTACAACATTCCTGCCCCTGCCCCCTACACTACTTACACCTGCATTACTGCACCCTCCTATTTACTTTTCAGCGGACGGGGCAACACCAGCACCGCTGCCTTCCACCTTCCCACCGGGCACCGCTGGGTCCGCCCTGCCCCCTAGCCCCAAACCGCGCTACTCCCTTTCCCCAACCCCCTACCCCCGCCTTACCCCCTAGCCCTGGCCCCCCCCTACCCCTTGGCCCCTGCCCCCCCCTACCCCCTATGCCCTACCCTACCCCTTACGCCCTACCACCATACGGCCCTCGGCGTTAAGGATGTCAGCGCCCTTCGGGCCGAAGGCCCAGCTTGTGGTATAGTGGTAGCATAGGTCCTTGCCACGGACCAGACCCGAGTTCGATTCTCGGCTGGTGCAGTTTGGGGTCGTAGCTCAAATGGTAGAGCGCCCGCTTAGCACTCAGGCTACAGCGCCGCAGTAATCTGCGGGAGGTAGGGGGATCGATGCCCTCCGACTCCATTTTTCGGGGCCTTTTGGCAATTTTCAGGCACCTTTTACTCAGGCCCTGTAGTTCAAGGCATAATCAACGGCCTAGCCGCTCCCACTTCTCCGCATTCATGTCCTATGCTATCTGGTACAGGCGCAAGTGGCCAGACGCTAGGAAGGACTATGGTTGCAAGCACACCGACATGCTTTGCCTAAATGGCTGCAGTGTACTGTAGCCCATTTATATGTAGAATAAATACTAAAAAAAGCCCGCATGGTACAGGGACAGAATAGCACTTGCAACCTCCTTCCTGTTCTCAATGGCACCAGGGCATCCTTATTGTAATGCGCAATTCATGAAACATTCCCACCTTTGGGGGAAGCTTGGAGACGAAGGTGTGTCTGAAAGCGCAGCAGCAGCAGCAGATGGAGTCCAACTTTCAACCTTGAGTATATAGGTGTAGTGCCAAGGAGTAGTAATGGGTTGCCATTGCTGTGCCCTCTGCCAACCTTTGTGCTTTGGACTGGCTGGTGGAATGCCGTACAAGTAAAGCCGATGGTGCTAGGGCATGGTTAGGCAAGCGCCTTACTTATGAAAATCCCTGATAAAACCCCGTATCTGGTATGGGCTTTTGGACGAATCCAACAGGCTTTTATCTCTTACCGTGCCTATGGCCAGCCGCAACCAGTGGCCCTCAACCAGGCCTTGCCACAGCGTTGGCCATTGCATACAGCATGTTTAGTGCACGTAGTTTGAAGCGTGAAAGCCAGATGTATAACAGTAGTGCAGCGAGGCAAGCAGGCGCGGTGAAGTGAATGGCTGCAAAGATGGCCTGTCTTGATCTCGGTCAGCGATGTCTTCAAGCTTTTAACACATGTGTGTTGAAGCCGCAGCCGCTTACCTCACAGACAACATCGGTGAGAAGTATGCTAGGTGACTAGCATAGCTGGGCCATTGTTCTAGTGTTCCCGCTTAGTTCACCAGCCAAGATGTCAAGGCGTGAAGCAATGTCTTGCTGACCATAAATACATTTCATGCAGTTTGTGAATCATGCTGCTGGTGGCCAGATATGCCCTGAGGCCAGCTCCAAACCAGCCATCATAGAAGCTGTCTAGCTCACTCTGCTTAGCTGGCCACGTACGGTCAGGCAGTTGTGGTTGACGGCAGCTGCACATTGCATGGCAGACTGAAGAGCGGGTAATAAAGGCTGTGACCAACCACCGTCCAGGCCCAGGAAGGGATTGCATCAGAGCTGCCGACCGCCTGAGATTGCACAACCACCCATTGTGCGTGCATGTCTTCTTGTCTTTCTTATCACCATAGTGTGCAATGGTGCATGGATCGGTTCTGCATGAGCCCCATGCTTTCACACCCAAGCCTTCCTACAGACATACAAGGTCGTCCCCCAACAATGGATCCTCTGCAACTGGCTGGGCGTGTGATTTTTAGGGTGGGTTGTAGTGCCAGTGCCACCTCTGACATATGGTGACACTGGAGACACTATGTGAGCAGAGTGCAGCCGTGAGTCTATCTGGGGGCTGCAATACTCCCTAGCAAGAGCTTGACGCTGTATGTATGACGCAGATGCCAGATACATACACTGTGCCAACATATATACTGCAAAGTAACGGCACCCATAGCAACAAAGCCATGGCTCCAATCCTTGACATGCTCAGAACCATGCACACATATGCTGGTAAACTGCACATGTCAGAAGGTCAGAAGGTTACCTGTCAAGTGTGTGCAAATGAAACGCCAATAGCTGTGGGGCACAACAGGGGTTAAGCTGGTGGGTGCGTCTGTGTTACATTGTACTTGTTTATGTGTGCCTCAGAAAGCTGTTGACAGTTGACAGGAGGGTCTAGCAGCAGCTTCAGGTTTGCGTAAACCACCCTGCATCGATGCGGGCACCATAACCAATTAACCAGTGTGACCGTAAATCCCCCCGTAACGAAGTGGAGGGGAGGATTGGAGGACAGTCGGTCGAAATCGAAATTGTGTCCGTCCGTCTGTCTGTGCGTCCGCAGAAGTGGCGGCAACTTCCTTAGGGCGCTAAGCGCTCAGTCCTGTCCTCAGCCAGCCAGAGGTCTCCGGTTCGAGCCAGGTAGCGACCTCTTGGCGACTTCCTGGGCACCCTTGGAGATGATGCCTGGGCCTGTGGGGATGGTGTTCTGAGAGATCTCGAGTACGACAACACACTGTACGGCAGCAAACTGTACGGCAATTGTGCCGTACTGTGTGGCAAGATGTCATGTGGTGTACGACATGTACGGCAACTGTACGAC